AGAGACAGGCCCTACCCTGCGCGCCTGCCCGGGCCTCCTCCTTGCACCCCAGGAGCGGGAATCTGCCCTCATAAATACATCGTAGTTGTCACAGGCCCGGGAGTTACCGAATCCCTACCTTATCTTCGGAAGAGGGTTGTTGCTCCCGGGAGGGGGGAGCGGCAGAGGGACACAGCCCCAGGCCCAGCTCGCCTCGCTCGCGGGCTTGGGCAGGCGGCCGCGGGGGTCCCCTCGGCCAGGCCTTCCGGAAGAAGTCGGGGTGCGCTCGGTCCCTCGGGATGCGGCCAGGGGTATTCGCAAGGCTGGATTCAGGAGCCAGTGTTCACTGAATTCATGCAGCTCTGGCACCAACCAACTCGAGCCGAGAAAGGTGGCTGGATGCCCCTTGAAAGACCATTACGAACTGCTGCTTGGCCCTTTGGGAAGGACATGCATTCCACTAACAGTTGCCCAAATAGCCTGTGCTGTAACCTGTGTTTGTCCCCAGATTTCTTAAAAAAAAATAAAAAACACGAAGAAAACATACTCCATGCAAACTTTGGTATGTTTCACATCTATGGTAAATAATGATCACTCACTACAACTATTCAGTGGTATAGAATTAATTTTAGTCTTAAAGGGGAACTAGATTTTCCCATTGAAAGAAAACAGCTACATTGGTTTGTATGAAAAAGAGCTCTTGCCACATACATACCATCTAGTTGGGGAAGGATTTTTATATATGGTATCAATAAAGCTAATTAGTTATAGAATTAACAAAAAATAACACTTCAAAAATTTCCAACATTTTCCAAAAACATTCTTTGATTAGAAGAGTTATGGCTGTTTTCTATGTGGGTTGTGGTCCAATATGACAACCTGAAATGCAGAGGAGATAAACCTGAGATGCTTCATCTGGCCATACTGAGGTATGAGGCACCTCTCTATTTCAGTGCTTTGCCTTTTAACTTCATCTTCCTTTGCTTTGATTTTATGGGAAAAGTAAAATATAAGCATTTAATGGAGCTTCACTATACTGTTACATTAATGTGGCATCCTTTTATATAGCCTTCTCTGTTATACACCATTCAGCAATGCTACATCACGTTACTGTTGTTTCATCAAGAAAAAAAAACAAAACCAAAACCAACCAGAAAATCCACATACAAACAAGCAAATGGGGGAAAATTGAGTAAAACTGAAGCTGCCATCCACATTTCCCAACATCCATGAATGGTGACATTCAAGTTATTTCAAAAACTGAAAGCTCCACATCTCGTTTTAAAATCTTAAAGTGATGCAGTGTGAGCTGTTGCTTTTTGCTCACTGAATCCTTATTCTCTTTGCTACATTTCCTGAGAATAATTACTCAGTTTCCTTTTGATTTTTTTTTTTTTTCCACAGAATCACCTAGGTTGGAAAAAACCTTGAAGATCATCACATTGACTGTTCTCAACTACACCGTATCCCTAAGCCCTATGTTGACTCTAAAACACCTCCAGGGATGGGGACTCCACCACCCCCCTGGGCAGCCCATTCCAACACCTAACAACCCATTCTGGAAAAAAATGCTTCCTAATATCCAGTCTAAACCTTCTCTGGCACAACTTGAGGCCATTCCCTCTTGTCCTGTCGCTTGCTACTTGGTTAAAGAGGCTCATCCCCAGCTCTCTGCAACCTCCTTTCAGGTAGCTATAGAGGGCGATATGCCAGCCCCGTGTTAAGAGCTTCATCTTCATGAGAAAAGATACACCACCTCTAAATCGCTTTTGACACAAAAATAGTTTATGCTGATATCGGTTAGAGACTTAACTAGTTCTTGAACTGGGTCTCATGTGGTATTTGTTTTTCACATGAAAAGGTCAATGTCCAGCAAGCAATTTTGACAACACTGACCTAGTGGGGAGTTGACCTAGGATAATGGGAATAATATGAATCATCACAACTTTAAAATATAGGGGACTGATAATCTTTTTACTTCTGTTTATTTATTGACCAATGGATTGAAATTGTAGAAAATACTGCTTGAGTAGACTAGCCACAAATAGCTACCTACCTATTAGAAAGAAAATTATTTTGAAAGGATAGCAGCAAACTATCATCTGCAGAGCAATCAAAATTCTTATGAATTGGTTAACTTAATATGCCTTATGGGACTATGCAGATGTTTAAACAAAGATATACATAAAAGATCAGTTCCATTTTCTTCATCAGATTCAGAGTTCCCTAAAAGGTCAGAGTATCAATCTATTGGATCATTGCATCATGAGTTTAAAAGCCCTTAAGCAACTGGAAACAATTCTCCCCATTCAAGACAGCTGAAAATGTCGAGCAAGTGGAAATGCAGTGACAGAATTGGCAGAGAACACAAAGGCAGGACAGTCTCTTCTGTTATTCCCCTAACTGGAGTCCACTCCCTTTTCAAAGATGAAAGTATCGACAGAAAGGAGGCTCTCTGTATCAGGAGATTAAAGCAAAAAGCTGTATTAACTACCTGACATCTGAATTGAAAGACCTTTACATTTTTCTGAGATGCCAGTCTTTGGCTGCAGTAAGCATGTTGTTGTGATCAGTACATTATTTAAGCATTAAATAGTTTAATAAGTAGTTTAAGTAATAAAGTTACTCAAGACACTTCATGTTCAGTGTCTTATTTCTCTCAGAAAAACATTTATGCTGTCAAGGATCAGAAAACTGATTAGGAATACAGTAAAGGGATTAAGCGTACACCGAGAGCTGACCTTTCATGAAGTCTCCAAATACTCAAATCTAATACATTCAGTTTAGCAAGCAATTAGATACAGTATTTAAGCCCTGCAAATCATGACTGAGAAGCAAAAGTTAAGTAAAGAAATAGTTCTGGCCTCTGAGGCAGAGGTGAAAAAGGCACTATTAGTAAGACTTCAGAATGATGCCCATAGCTATCAACTAAAATACAGCAACTAGTGATAGAAGCTGAAAAATGTTTACATGTGTGCACATGACATTACATTCATTCTTTAATGTATGGGAAATCATCTTTACTACTTTTCTACACAGAGAAGATATGTTTAGGCCAAAGCTGAACACCAGTGTGTGTGGCCTACAACAAAGTTGGCCTTATATAATGTGCTGCACCAGGGCTGCAAGGACATTTTGAAACTTCTACCAGTTCTGAGTAAGGTCTGGCCTTCAGGAAAAGTTGGGTAAGTTTAATTTGACTTAAACTGTATGTTTAACTGTGTGTAATCAAAAGCATTTCTAAGTACCTTTTCTCCTTTGGAATGCACTAGGAGTAGCACAGCTGTTTTGAGCTGGTAATACCATCCATCCCTCATGGAACTGAACCTCTTCCTACTAACAGTAGCTTAAACAAAACAAATAGCAGATATACAATTATTACTAAAAACTGAAGGGGGCCACGATGGAGAATACAGTCAGTGAGTTTAAGATGGAGGCCCCTGTGTGTTCTATGGTCCACGCTATGCAAAGCGGTGCCAGGAAATAGTGGTCCTTAGCAGTAAGACACATATCAGGATTGTTAGAGATACACCAACATTTTCCACCTTAGACAGGAAGGTCATCAACTCTTGCAACAAAAAGAATGTGATACTTTAATTTTTCTCTTTCTCACACCTTTTTCCTCACTGAGCTACTAGGGCCCCTACAGTTAAAAATGTAACCATATCCAGTGTTGACTAACACTCCTGTGGAAGTATGCAGCATGCCATATGCACACATCATATACGTTACAGGTGTGTAAACCACAAACCTGAAGTTGTCCAGCAAGGCTTTCTACTTGCAGATTACTAAGAAAAGGTTTTCTCACCTTGTTGAGGTCTGTGATTTGTTCCAAGGAGTATTTTGAGTGGTTCTAACCTGAATAAAGTCTGTTAGCCAGCATATCTGTTGTGACAGACATTCACTTTTCTGCAGACTAGAGCTGTTCTACAGCTTTTCACACTCTTCTGTAGACTGCAACCCTGCCAGAACAACTAATGAAAAAAAGACATAAAACATTCATTCAAATTGGCTCTAAGTGATTCCTGTAACCTGTGTAAACACATGAACAAAGGGGCTCACTATATCTCACATATGGAGGGATTACACGAGTAAAGACACATATGGAAGGATTATATGAGTAAAGACTAAAGTTCAAGTCCCTCTAAACACATTACAAAGACAATAATTGGTAGTCAACAGGGAAATTAAACATTGGGTCAGTGGTATTTTTGGCGTATTTTTAGTACAGTATCTGCTTCTAGTAAAACTGTATCAGAAGATAAAATTACGTCTGGATGTAGTTTTATTTTCCTTCCCTAGCACAGGGATCTCTTTAGTGTTTTCACTATGTTCCACAAAGGGCCATTAATGGCACATTTTAAGCTTGCTCAGCACTAGGTAGGTCATCTATCGCTAATAAAGTTTTCCAGCAGCAAGTTTTTCTAGCATAGATGAGTTTTAATGTGACCTGGAAAGTTTCTACCTTTTTAAAGTTATATCTTGTGGGGTTTTGCATCTTCAGAAAGTTTAGAGATTCTATTGGAAGAGATTCTTAAATTAGAAACATGAAGCTTACTCTTTACTGCCAAATGTATCCTCCTGCAGTTATTCAAATGAATGTAATACTATTATTTTAATAGTTGTCCTTGTGAAGGTGGTTTACTAGTTGTCCCTAATAAGGTAATTTGGCAAAACCAGGAATTTCTATAGATGAAATTTTAAGTCACAATAAAAAGAACTTACATATGCCTTAAAGAAGGAGAAAACCTTACATATATAAGAGCATGTTCTTTCGGACGTCACCTTACAAAGGAAATGAAACTAAAGACCTGGGAAAATAGAGAAGGGAAGAAAATGCATGCAAATTTTAGATTTTCCTGTGCTGACTTAATATACCAATATGCTTCCTTTGTCCTTATGTAAACTCAGATTTTTGTTTGGTTGAGCTGTTTTGTGTGGCTTCTGTTTGCTTGTGGTTTTTTTTTTTTTTTAAATCTTCCTCCAACTCATGATTCCATACTCTCGAAAATGTGTTCTCATAGGTAATTCTCTACAGTAACTGTAGATGGTGATCATAATCAACTTTCAGATTTCAGAACAAAAGGTAACTGAGAGGACAGTGAAGTCAGACAGAACTCTCAAGAGTACATTAGTGTCACACATTTTTGAATTCCAGCATTTTAAGACTACTGACAAGCACAGCAAGCAAAAGTTCCTTGAAAAGGGCAGAGACAATGATATGAAAATGGTAAGATTGTCATTTAATTACCCTTAAAAGACTGAACTTACTTGAGAATGCAGCAAATCATCATACAGTGCATTACAGCAAACAAGATTCTAAATGGTCTCAATAACACAAAGCAGAAAAATCTATACATTGAAATTATCTCCATGTGATAGATGTTTTTAAAAGTGGCAATAATTATTAAAAAGCTTTCAATAAAAAGTTTAAACACATTTAAGTTTCAAAAGAATATTTTGTACACTTTGGAAAAATATAACATTTACTTTATATAACTGAAACATAAGTTATATTCTTTGTAGTTTGTAAGCTTCCATTATTCATACATTCTCTCATACATTTTCTTTTAATACATCCTTTTCTCTAGATTGTAAATCTAATGCAAAAGTATCACTACTCTGAAGAAAAGCTTGTTTCTGCATTAGTTTCCTGAAAAGTCCATTTGGATTTGCAAGTAGTTCCTCATGTTTTCCACATTCAAGAATTTTACCCTGTCCAAGGACTGCAACAAAATCAGCATTCTGAATAGTGGACAGACGATGAGCAATAATTAGGACTGTCCTCCCTTCCATCAGCCGGTCCAGAGCTTCTTGCACTAGATACTCATTTTCAGCATCCAAAGCACTAGTAAGAAATAGAAAGCAGGGAGGGGAGAGAGGACAATATTTCTTACTTTAAGACAGGTTAGTTTTATATGCATTAGGCTTGTTTTGCTAAAACTGCAAACCCTTGCTTTTGTTATTGAAGATGAGCCAATGGAACTGCCGGAAAGTTTCATGATTACGCTTAGTGCACACATACAAGTTATAGGCATCACATATCTCATATGCAAAAATATGCATGGAGAAATAACACTAAATCAGTGAAAAAAAAAAAAGTTATAGTACAGTATAATCAGCTCTTTTTTACCCTAATATCTTCATTTAAGCTAAAGACACAAAAAAGGTTTCAGTAGATGTTTCAAAATCAAGTTACATATTACAGATTTAACTCCATGAAAAATTACAACACAGTGTACCAGCTATCCTTTCCACTTTGCATAAACAGCTTTTAATACAGGACTCCTAACTAATTCACACATTCTAGAAAACACATTATTTCTGTGGGTAGAGAAAAAATAAGGGGCTAGATAATTTGTGCAAGGGCATGCCAAGAAAGAAGAGAGAACACCTCCCAGATCTGATTTTACAGATAGATCATTTCTAAGTTTCTATTTTTTTTCTTTCTTACCTTGTTGCTTCATCTAACAGAAGAATTTTAGGATTCTGAAGAAGAAAGTAAAATGGATTATAAAAACAATTAGATAAGATCTGAATATTTATATCAATACAGAACAAGGTTCATACAGCTTAAAACTCCAAGTAAGTGTACTTCATCAAAAGAACTGAGTGTCATTCAAAGTATTACTTTTAAGAAGTCTAAATGCTAAGAGGACAAACCAGAAACAACACACTTTCATCTTCAAGGTTTCCAAACTAAAGTAACAGAACACTATTACCTTGTAACTATTTGAAAGCTACAAACCAGAGGTGGGTGATGATTATTAATGCATGCTTGGTAGCCCTGTGGTTAGAAGTTCAATTTCCTATTTACTGCTCTTATGTGGATCTTTCACAGTGGCTCAGATACTCTCTGCTTGCAGTCAGTCTGCTATATGTAACTGTCTAGTAACAAAAAATAACAAAAACCTACCAACAAGCAGTGTTTTGCCCTCAGATGAAATACAAAGTACTTAAGAACTAGCATTTAAGAATTCTTCCCAATTAAAAAAAAAATAAAATAAAAAAAAATTGCCAAATCCCTAAGAAGCTTCTTTTGAATTACAGTACATAACTCAAACTTCTTTGGTAAAGTTTGAGAGTAAAAGCTTTAGACTGCATCTGGAAGAGAAGGGACTCCACTGCACCCCCAATCACATACTTATATCAACTACTCGTTCATTTTTTTACAACTTTTTTTTTCCCCAAATAAAGTCTCTACTCCCATGACCTGTACTTGACATGAAATGCCATCAGCTTTTCAGCATTTGTGGTAAAAGAGAACTGGTATAATGAAAAATTCCCAGTAATCTAGCAGAACTGGGCACGCTACAATGCTGTAGAGACCCGTGTGGCTTAATGTGAAGTATGTAAGCTTAATGTAAGCTTGATTCAGCAAGGGTCAAAACTTCCAGCTGAGCATCAGCACCAAACCGCCTCCCTGTGAGACCCCAGACCCCGTGGCTGTCCCTGAATCAAATTCCCAAATTCTGACCTTCAGAAGCCTCCTCAAATACGTGCAGCACAGAGTCTGCCCTAAAGCCAGACCCACGCCAACCCTTGCAGAAAAAAATGACACAACATTGTGCCTGAAATAGTATCTTGTCCCAAATCCAGACCAGCTCCTCTCAAAGCCATGACAGGACACCTATAGTGGTAGTAAGCTGCAAACCAGAAAAATCACCCTGTGAATGATAAGAGATCTAAACACAGAACACAGAGACTGAAGTGTCATATATGAGTTTACTAGCACCACATTCTTAAAGACTTCCTTCATCCTTGATCTGGTCATATGAAAGTGAGCCATTATACAATGATTTAGCATCAGTCTTGGCAAAAACTATCAAAAAACATGACTGAAAGATGGAAAAAGCATTTCCATAAGTAAATTGTATTTAGTTAAACCACTCGACCCTTTCAAAGTTCCTCATTAATGTAAAAGATATAAAAGATACAATTTGATTTTAAAAAATATTTTTCCATCTCTCCCACTGAAATACCTCCTCCTTTTTAACTCTTCCCATTCCCCACAAAGTAGTTAAATAGCTATTTGGGTGCTGGTTTACCTTGAGCAGAGCTCGAGCAATTGCAATTCGTTGCTTCTGTCCACCTGGGGGGAAAAGCTCAGTAAATTAAAACAGGAAAAAAGATAGAAAGTAATTTTAACTGAATGCCTGAGCTGAGCAGAATTAGGCACATGTGCTTTAGAGGGGGAATTGAGATGAAGGACATTATTATTTTTTAATACTTATGGCAGGCTATGACTTGGAGAAAAAACTGTTAACAAAAAATAACAGAAATTTTGACTTCACTCTATAGCATTCTTTAAAATAAGCAATATAAAGAAGTACCTGAAAGCAAAATGCCTTTTTCTCCAACTACAGTGTCAAACCCTTTTGGAAAATCTCTGATGAAGCTAGCAGCATTAGCTATTTCAGCAACTTTCTGAATCTCCTCTGCAGTCACAGTAGAAGGATCCTCTGCACCATAGGCAATATTTTCAGCAATAGAACAGGAGAACAGAATTGGTTCCTGACAAATTCAAAAACGTAACTAATACAGTAAATCTGTAATTACTTACATGTATTATCTATTTATCAAATAAGTCCCAGTATTCATTTCCTTTATATCCATACAAAAGAATATGTAAGCAAGAGTTAAGTGAATTAAAAACAAAAGTCTCTCCCCAAAATGGGCAGTGGAAATAAATTAAAAAATAAGTTGCTTTAACTGACAAAACATAACATAACCCTCAATTCCTAATATTTGAGGAAGAGTTCAGAAAAAGCTATTCATTCAAACATCAGAAAAATCTCCCTTTGGACTTTACTATGTATCATCATTTGCAACAGTGATGATTCCTCTCAAACTCTACACAGATTTCATGGCATTTTGTGCATTTAATTTGTATTAAAGCTTAAAGCAGTGAAGAGGACTGGCAGATAGGAAAGTGATGTACAATGGGAAAACATCTGAAACAAGGTAAGTCTGCTCTGTTTATAAAACAGAGACATACTATATTATGAATATCACTATGAATCTCCTACTGGTAATTCAAGTGGAATACAGAAATTCAAAATGAAAAATGTTAATGTGCCCACAAGAAAATAATTTCTGCACAAAAATTTTTGGTGGCATTATTACATAAAATATATGCTTTGAAAGGCAACATGCCCAGTTATCCTTATGCTTTTAACCACAACATCCACCTAAGTTAACTGCACTGTGAAGTATCCAGGGAGACAAGGGAAGGAACATACATAATTTACTTGGCCAAACAGTTTAAGACACCATTAAACATCCCTCTGTACTTCCAGAATTTGGGAGTTGCTAGGAAGGGGACATTATAAGAGCAAGTGCCAACAGTGCTATATTTTCAGGCTTTCCTAGTGGAATTATGTTTGCCTGGAAACAACACAGAGCACAGAAGGTCAGTTTTCAAATGGTTGTGTAAAATAGGATAGTATAATTTCCATTAATACAAAATGTGATTAAATGTTAAGCTTTGTGTTACTTTATTCCAATAAATCATAGCAAACATCAAGATAGTCATATCTATACCATTTGCAACAACATATTTTCCAGTCTCCATGTGCAAACTTTTCTGGCACACTAACCTAACACTTTGAATCTCTATGATTATGTAAAAACATTACGGCATAATGGGACTGGCTCTGAATCCTTAATTTTGGAACAAAGCATGCACAACAGCAGTTATGGTGAGATGGAGAGATTCACTGAGGAGCAAAATTATATAGTTAAAAAAAAAAAAGTGAGGCATAGCTAGTTGATCACACAAAATTATTTCATTCACTTGGAATACTTTTTTTCTTCCTTACCTGACTCACTGTTCCAATCTTTGTCCTGAACCACAGTGGATTTAACTGACGGATATCGAAGCCATCAACGGTGATAGTACCTTAAATTAAGACACAGTAAAATCAAGTGTGTTTGACAAGTACTGAAGAGAGACAGAAAAAGATCAGTTGAGAACAACAACCCCTGGGGAATCACATACTGGTGAATCAGAAAAGCAAAGCTATGCAGGCACCACCACAGGGTAACCACACACCCCGGAGGGAAGCACAGTGCATCAGTGGAACAGTCACATCAGGGCTTCAACCACAGGAACTCTGACCGTTTATAAGATGTATCAGAGATGCAAAGCATCAGCTGTCATGAATGACAGCAACACACAAAACATACCTGAGATAGGATCATACAGCCTCAGTAGAAGGGATACAATAGTTGATTTCCCTGTACCACTTGGGCCAACTAGAGCCATAACAGAGCCAGCTGGAATGGAAAGGCTAAAATCTTTGAAAATGGATGTTTCTGGACGTGTTGGATATGCAAACTCAACGTCCTTGAATTCCAAAGCACCTCTGAATGTGTCTTTGCCTAATGTGATTCCCTCTGTATGACAAACAGTAAAATACAGAAACAAAGATCAGCTCAGCCCTCCTAGAACTTGCTTTACAGACAGACATTAGAAATATCTATCTCCACGTTAAATCTAGGGATAGGGGCAAGCCACAGTTCAGGACCACAGCAATTATATTTCAGCCATGACTGAATCAGTGTGGTACACCACTTGTTCCTGAATGTAATTTCAGGTTGCTCACCAGCAGTGAACCTGTAGGCTGCCTAAAGCAAGAGGGATAATTTGCATCTTGCTGATACCTAACATGTAGCTATGTTCAATTCTAGTAGAATTACCTGAAAACATATTATAAACAATTTAAATTCTGTCAATTAGGAGCAATGAAATAGAATGGCATTGTTGAAGGCCAAAGTCCTATTGCCATAGAACACATGCAAGAAGATAAACATTGCAAATCACTTACTGCCCTTTCACCAAGCCACAAAAGTCACCTGAAACACCCTCCCCTTTGGATGAGAGCAGTTCCTTCTTCACTACCTGTTAACTGGGTAGCTTTTAAACAAAGGCTGTCACTGGAATAAAGCTGCTGCTAGGTTTGTTGCATTAATGGCCATTGTTTAGATTTTTGGGTTTTTTAAGTGGAAAATACATTTAATAAATTCAGGACAACAGTGTACTCAAAGACCCATCAGAAGCATAACTCACCGTAAGGCGTAAGTTCACTGAAACGAAAATTTCAGTTTGTGGAATACCCTAACAAACCATTATGAATGAATGACTGTCAAAGTTAAATAAAACCAGCTTCTTTCTGGAACGCAGCATTTGATTTAAACAATTATTTTAAAAGAGTATCATCAGTACTAGAAAAAGCTTACAAATAGGTAAGACAAAGAAATACAGTTTTTTCAGGCCCTGTTAAATCCCAGCAACACACATCCATACAAAGCAAACTTACTGGACAGCGGTGCTGCTGCATTCCCAAAAGACAGTCTCACTGACAAAGTTTCTACATTCTGTGAAAACTGTCAGCACCAGAGTGACACCCGAGTAGTGTTTGTTTGCTGAAGACATGCAACTCAACCCCCTTAATTCTTTTCAGACACAGCACACAAGTAACCCCCAACTTGCCACAGCACGTGGTAGCACATGTCCACGTTTGGTTAAACAGTAACTATGGATAGGAAGCACAGAAACCCATCAGTAGCAACCAAGATTTCACTAGTCCTGCTGTTCCCAGAGCAAATAACTTATTTTGCTTTTCATTTTCCCCAGATTCCCTCCTCCAGGCTTTCTGTTTAATGATAGTAGCACAGAAATGGTAAAGGCAAGTGCATACAATTTCAGACTCCTTACTTGACTTTAATCCATGGATATACACATTGTAACTTGTTTGTTAGGTTAAAAGCACAGTGGTTTGTAGACCTCTCTTTGGGAAAATAAATGTATTTTCTAAATCTTGTGCTAGCAGCATAATCCTATTACTAAAGTAACAATCAATTGCTTATATTTATTCTCAGTTCCAGTTATTGCACAGTCTATTCCATGGCCTGAAACACTGCAATACAGGAAGTCTGGTACCACAAGTCCTTCCTCTATATATTACTGTAAAAATATCTAAAAGCTATATACAGGATTGTACATGTTTCTTGTTTGGATTCTAGAGACAGGAAAAAAAGACATAATTTGTTCCTGAGATAATTAATCACCAATAACAGCTGGAGTTCCATGAAAACAGAACCTAAGTAGCGAAAAGAGTAGATGTTTCAAGTGGGTTTGCAAAGTAGAGAAATAGTCTCTTGGCTTTATTGTCTGATGATCCAGAAAGCAACTATATTTGAGTTTTGAGACAAAGGTTTATATCCTTTCCTATGTATTTTATACTGAAAGAAAACTTAAAAAGAAGCTTTCTGTAAGCCTATGCTACATGGACATCTAAAACTTTGTCCTATTTGTGTTTCATCCATAAAATATTGTTTTCTGGATGTCACTATTGCTGTGATTATACAATTCAATACCTGCAGGGAGAAAGACAACTTCTGCCCCAACACTACTGCTTATTTTGCACTGCTACCACTGTAGCAAGTGCAAGATGAAGACCACTGAAATAATCTAGATTTAAAAAAAAAAAAAAATCCCATCCAAATGATGATGAAATCAACAGTTGCACTAGGTCTGTGAAGGGCACAGCAAACTGCAGTGTGGCACTGGATGTCATAGCAGAAGTTTAAGCCAGCTTCACTGCTAAAGACAAGAGTGCAGAGCTATCCCTTCGTCAGCTAGTTAGTGGTTAGCTTTTGGACAAATGGCTGCTATTCTAAATCTGCCTCCATCCACTGGAGACAGTAACACTTTCACTGCCTAAATGAAGTCTATGCACATTGAAAAGCATCTTACAGACAGGCTTGCAGCTGTGAAGAGAAACAAGACAGAAGCCAGGCTGTGACTTGGTGTCCATCAGGTTAAGAACTTCAGGAATTCCAGCACAGTGAGACAGAAGCAGAACAGACATTTGTAGCACAACATTTCAACAGAACCCCTCCATATTAAACAACTGAAAACTCCACTCTTTCTGTGCCGCTGCAGCATAGAAAGTCAACAGAATGCAGAGTATGGGCCAAGTTCAAATCATGACATTCCCTAAAGCCAGAGCTCACTTGAAAAATCTGTTAGGTCCATTGGATGTTCTTCTCTGACTCTTCCTCTTAGAGTAGCCCTTACAAAGTTTCCCAATTAGAGGACCATATAAATCTCAAGAGAGAATTTGTGTTGACAGCTCAACTGGACACTGCTATATTGCATTTCTTAACAACATACAGAACTGGTGAACACACATGTTTGACTTTTGCTTAGTGGGATGCAGCTGATTAAATAATCCCGCAATTCACACAGAAAGTACCTTCTACAAGCAGTTCACTGAACTACTTTGATGGATACAAGCAAATACTACTTATATAAAATACACTCAGTGCTGGAGGGCATTGTCTAGCTTCTGAACAATAAAGCTGTAAATAAGGTGTTGCTGGCAATACATTTTTATTTACTGTATTTGAATATTATTGAATATTAAAAAAAATATTTAAGTATGTCATTTAAATATAATTTAATTCTTATTAATATTTATATTTAATATTTGTTTAAATGTTACTACATAAAAATACTTATTTAAAATCCAGATTTATAGATGAAGTTTGCATATCTTCTTTTTGGGATTTGACTACTACATCAGCAAGTTTCCATAAAAAGCACACTTCCATAAAAATCTAACACCTCTCAAAGGTGAGTATAGTCACCTATGAACATACTGATAAAACCAGATTTATTTCAGGCTCACAAACATAGCTTTGAACCTAAAGCAGCCCATTAAAAGAATGACTGATTTGCCATAAAAATTGCTTGTTTCTCCTCACACTTCCAACAATGTCAAACTTGATTAATCAAGGACATTAACTCCCCTTCAAAACTTTCTTGTTCATATCCTTAGAACACTGCAGCTATATGAAAAATACTATGTGCATGTTACCAGGTCCAACACAATACACGTCAAACTAGGAGTCCACTTAGTGTAGCAGGCTGCTTATGCAGCAGAAGGCCCACAGCCCCCTGACCCATAGCTGCATCAGGTAAACCATATGCTGGAGTGGCTCCTTGCCCCACTAAAGAAGGGAGAAATGTGGGTAGTGCTACTGTGAGAAGAGGGGTGCAAATCATTCCAAAAGCAATGCCTGCTGCACCTGCACATCCACACTGTCCCAAGAAACAGAGCTCCCCATCTCAGCTCCAAGCCTTCCTTCCTTTCATTCCCCCATCATGTCTCAGTAACCCACTCAAAAATTCAGTTTGGCATGTGCTGCTGAAAGGCCTCAAACTGTGCTTGCAAGTTCAGCTTCAAACCACCATGTCTTACCAAGGAACTGTTTTCACAGGATCAGTATGAAATGCTTATAAACTTCAGATACTCTTAATGAAAAACACACAGTTTCAAAAGCTTCTCTTTTCAGACTTCTAATTTCTTAGCCATTAGAGATGAGCATGGTAAACCTTTTAATGGAAATATGAGATACAGCCATCTCAGAGCTCTTCCCTCCCTGCTTTTTTCTTTCTTCCACTCTTTTCACTCTAAAGCTATTCCAAGAGAAAGTGCCGATAACATCAAAGAAATATTCCAAAAAGCTAGAAATGAGCATGTTCTCAGTCACATAACTTTTCATAAAAGCATATTCTGAATTAAAGAAAAAAAACACCAAATTTTCAGCTTCTAGGTTTTCTGATTAAAGGAAATTTCCACCATCTTTTTCATAGTTGTCAGAAGAATTACCACTGTATCTAGTTTCTTTCCAAAAAATGTAAGTCAGTACTACCTTTAGGTATTATTACACACATCCTTCTGAAATACTGGTGACCATTAAGAGAAAAATCAACCTATGAACAGTAACAAACTAAGGACCCACCATTAAATGGAAGTTGGGGCTTCCTTTCAATAAGTTCCCATAGACGTCCACCAGCACCTAGTCCTTTCATTAGCTCAGAATAAAAGGAACTTAGACCTAAATAAAAAGCAGAACAGTATTATGCATCCATATGGAATAGAAGACACAGGAGACATAAAATTTGCTTTTCATCACCATCATTGAAGCACCAGACGTGTAGGGAACCTTTTAGTCTAACACACTATCAAACATGCTGATTTAAATCCTATCTAGTCTCAGTTGAGAGCTACCAATAAGTCTTATTCACCATTCTTATTTATATCTGTAAAGTAAATCATTCTGAAGAAAAAAAAAAGAAAACATTAATACACTTAAGCTTGCGTATACTCAAAAGCAAAGCAACTCTTTTTCATTCATCTATCAGGAACGACAGCATGCAACTTCAGAGAAATCGCCTTGTACAACCAGCTATATGTTCAAAATCATTTAGAAGAACGGAGCACTCTGAATGTTCTTCTTTGTCAGGCAGGGTTATACTACTACAGGGGAGCCTGGCTGGGTCAGCCCCGGGGGAAGGAGAGCACAAAACCTAAGGCTGAACTGACGCTTGAGAAGCTATGTGGAAAATGGACAATGTAAAGAAATATGTCTCCCAAGTCAGTGTGCTTTAAACATCACTGGAGAAAGCAAAAGGCCTGCATATAGTAAGCACTAGGTCCCAACTCTTAGCAGCTGTGTCAGTCATCTTGGCTGAAGGGCTTTCCAGCTGAAATAAACACAGAAATGCACCTAGAACCAAAAATGGAGTAGGACATAAATATAAAATATCTTATTTCTTCATTTTATGTGTGTCTTTCAAAATAAAGTAACCAATTTCCAAAATCTCTGAATTCCAACAAAATAAAGATACAGAATAAACCACTTCCACCTTAAAACATGTATAGTGTTGAGTGATTTCAGGAGGGCAGAAAACCTAAGGTGTATCAAAATAGGTTTACTGGTTTATTCTTGCAAAGCAACAAGCTCAGCACAAGGTCATTAGTCTGTAAGTGTAAACAGGGCATTTCATCACCTGGCTGCTGAGGACTATCTGAAAGCTTGAAACACAAAGCACTAGCCATGGTGAGAAGCTGTCTGCTTGGAAAAGAGACCTAAGTACCCACATCCTAGAGCAGGGCACAGGGGAGAAGGCATGAGCCTCACAACACACCTTGAAACTGAGACAATGACATTTGAAAATTCACAACCACTCATTAAAAAACCACTGTATAATATGGACAACAAAGGCTAATTAGAAACTGGTTTTAATTTTCATTACCTGTGTTCAGTGTTTACTAGGAAACACAGCAAACTGTTACAACAAAAAGGGGCGAAGTCCCAAATTATGCAGTGAACTTCAAAGTTCATTGCATGAACTCCTATATGTACTGATGATGACGTATACCGAGCAGACTTAGCACTTCGAAGATTTATATATGCCTTGTAGGCGTCAAGGAGGGCAGGTCCCCATGAGAAAAAGCTCGCTGCAGAACTATATTCTTCAATAATCTTAAGCAGAATTTTTAAAAGTTTTTATAGCAAATAAAAGTTAATTGAATTATATTTTATCAGTACTTCTAACCTTATTTTTAATTTATTTAACGTTAAGTTGTCCTATATTTTCAAAGTGCTGGGTAATCTGTCTGTTGACAGATGGATGACTTGGGTGATTTATGCAGAGAAGAAAAGGGTTTGGTAGCTGGAGTGGGTGCCACTGGAATTTTGATATTCAAAGCAGCAGGTTTTGTGAATTTTGCCCTCAGGCACATCTTTGTGCTTCCCACGATATCAGGCTTAGTCTTAGAAAAGAAGAGTACAAATGAGCTGCATTGCCCTGCTGGTCTATCAGAAGTAACAGACTCATTTTAAAGAACCACCATCCAATCAGTTGTCAAATTTCAAAATACCTTATCTTCATTTTTGCCTGTACACAGTAGTGAGGACTGCTCTGTCAAAAAAATGAACTGTTTGTTTCTGGGCCAGTAGATTACAGAGTCTGAGCTTCAAGGAGCCATCAGTGAGTAAGGAAAAACAAAAGTTTAGCACCAGAGTGCAGTGTTCTGCTGGCACTCTTTACCCTTCCAGCTCAAGACACTCTATACTGAATTACAGCTGAATTCCACATGCCCTTCTAAATAGAGTGTGTTTAACACAGACCCACATATTCTGTAAAAAATATAATACCAGTGTTAATTCTTTACATTATGTATCAAGTATTTTAATTTAGAGCCAAAGAAAATTAAAGTAATATGTATCTGTCACGTACACACTGAAAAAATATTACTTTTGTATTCCTTTGGGAAAATGGAATGTTTATATTAAGATTAAGTTATAAATTATTATTTTCATTAACTCTTCAGAAAAAAAAATATGTATGATTTCTTGGGAAGATCATTTGGAAGAGACTTTTTAAGAAAGCCAGATCTTTTAAGAGCTTCTTCCTTCCCGCCCCCATACTAAGTGTAATGCTTTGAAGTGAAGAAAATCTAATTTCTCATTCCATACCTCCAATGCTTATTCCAACCCAGAAAGCATACATTAGGAAAGATGAGAGTTCACCAACTGTCATGTAGGCACTGCCCATCAGTAATCCTCCTTTGTATAAGACTGAGAGGATAATTAAGTTTCCAGAAAGGCCAGTCTAAGGAAAAAGAGGAAAAGGCAGATTTTGTCACATACATCTGAAATACCATCCTCTAAAATGTTGTGTCAGAATTTTCCTTCTAATAAAAGAATGCTCATACTATGGATATCTAGATTTTTAGAGGACTGAGTTAAATCTGAACAAAACCAATTCTAAAACAAACCAAGCCAACAGACAGACATCCTGTGGCACTGCACTGCCCTATCCAAGGAGCATTCAAAAAGCAACCAACTTTTTTATTTTTTTCCCCGAGATAGAAAGGAGCACCAAATATTATTCTCAACCATCACTAAAGGAGAAGAGATGATAGTCTGCAGCTATTTTGCAGTTTTAGAATACTATCAAACAAACTCACTGCAAGCTATTGAGGAAAAATGCAATCCCAGCCTCCCTCCCCCACCTGTGCACTCCCCACCTCCCTCACATTGATGCCAAACCTGTTAAAATGCTAAGGCTGGGAGAAGGTTTCCACAGGTTTAGTTCATTGAAGAGGAGGTATGGCCTCAGATAAAGAATACCAAGCTATGGGGTGGGGGCCATAAATAGAAGCTTAAACTGGCTTTATCATACCACTGTACCTTGAGGTGCAGTTTCACAGCAATTTAGACTGATTTGTCTTCCCACAGTTTTATGTAGATTCAATTTACATTCAATTCATTTATTTGCAGATTTATAAGTATCTCGTGAATTTTAAAATAACTGACCCTTGGCATAACGTGGTTGGTTCACTTTCATCAAAATATACTTACTGCTCCAAAGAAGCCTGCCCGGGCTAGTGCCTCTTTTTTAGCCAGTTGTAGCACATAATCGACTTTATTTGTATACTGCTCCATTTCAGCCACTTCTTGCCCAAAAGCTCGAACTGTTCTTATGTTTCCAACACGCTCTTCAGCTAACTACATTAAAGCAAAGAACAAAACAAATACACACAGACACACAATTTGGTTCTTACTACAGAATATTTGAAAGTTAAAGCAATATCACTACACTAATCTCCAAATACATTCATTTGGATAACACTGGAAAATTTCTCATGCTCTCCTTTCCCCATCCCCACCCCTCCTTTTTTTTTTTTTTTTTTTATTTTTT